GTGGACGCTATAACTTTCACACGAACCAATTAATATGCAGTTATTGGGATTTTTTGTTTACCAAAGACGTGTAGCAAAATACATTTTGGCCTAAATTTATGACAAATTTGCGTTTTTTTTGGATTGTTTTTGTGGTGTTTGTTTATTACGCATCTTCAGACTTTCAAAGTAGTTATTAGCTAGGCTCCCAAAAAGTCTCACACAAGTGGTATCCCCATACTTGGTAGAAATAGCAGACTGTATTTTGGGGTGTAATTTCACATATACCCATGACATGTATGAGCAATATATCATTTAAGTGACAACTTTGTGTTTTTAAAAAAAAAAAAAAAAAAAAAAAGTCATTGATCATAAGGGCACACTGATCATCAGTGCCCTGATCAGTGTACATGTCCCTTCTGCGGAATGTCGATTACCGGCTCTGCTCTCCTCTCGAGCTGTCAACGTGACAGCTCGAGAGGAGAGAAATGCCGATAACCGGCATTTCCCTGTTTACATGTGATCAGTTGTGATTGGACACAGCTGATCACATGACCGAGCCAACATCTTCGGCTGTTTCCGTGGATCGGTGATCCGCTGTGTCCGAGGGACACAGTGTACCGCCGATCGCCGCGCGCATACGCGGTGAGAACGGGAGGACACGTCATATGACGTCCTCCCAGAACGCGAGAACCACCTTGCACCCGTCATTGGACTATAGGGTGGGTGGGAGGTGGTAAATTTGGTGGAAGAGTGGGTTGTGGCATAAGCTTCTAATGTTGGCCCTGAAATGTCAGGATAGTAGAAGCACCTCCCCCCCAAATGACCTTTTTTTGGAAAGTAGACGCTCCAAGGCGGGGGTCCTAAACCAGCAGATCGCTGCCAGGTGACAGGTAAATCACAGTCTGGGCTTGCTGACCCACCATCCCAAAGTATCAAACAAAATGCAATGTAGAGGGCCTACTTGTAAAGTTGGAGCTGTAGTAGGAAGCAAGAGCCGCATAAGCCGATGCCTCCTCTGTAGTGCTGGCTCCTGTCCCATGCAAAATGATTACAACTGCACTCCACCTCTTATCCTGGTTAACGGTCTCCAGAATGGTGCCAGCTGCAGGAAAGAAGAGAGCTTCAGGTCAGTGCGAAGCAATACACTGGGCATAATAGTATAGGGCTGCTTTCAAACTCATGTGCTGGTAGGTGGCACTGATGGGCATTGACAGGCATCACTAATGGGCACTGAAAGGCAGCACTCATATACCGCACTGTTAGGCGGCACTGACTGGCACTGATAGGCGGCACTGATGCACACTGATAGGCAGCACTGATTGGCAGCACTGATAGGTGGCACTGACTGGCACTGCTGGGTGACACTGAAAGGCAGCACAGATGGGCGCTGATATGTGGCATTGATGTGCACTGGCAGGCACTGAAATGTGGCATTGATGTGGCACTGATGGACACTGACATGTGGCACTGCTGGGGCTACACAGATCATCCGAGCACACTGATCATCAGTGCCGTGATGATCGGTGTACATGTCCCCTCTGAGAGATGCCGATTACCGGCTCTCCTCTCCTCTCGAGCTGTCAGCGGAGGAGAGAAATGCCGATAAACCGGCATTTCCCTATTTACATGTGATCAGCTGTGATTGGCCACAGCTGATCACATGACCGAGCCGACATTTTCGGCTCTTTTACGTTGATCAGTGATCCGCTGTGTCCGAGGGACACAGCGCACCGCCGAATGCTGCGCAGGCGTGGTTGGAATGGGAGGACGTCATATGACGTCCTCCTAGAACGAGAGAACCGCCTTGCGCCCGTCATCGTACTTATATGGCGGGCAGGAGATGGTTAAAATGGAGTCTGAGCTCCCAGAAGACACCTGTTTTTCCTTTTCTTAGAATAAAGGAGTTTTTTTTTTTTTTATAATGTGTTACTAAACCCACGGCCGTAAAAATCAGTCTGTATATGTAGTAAAGCATGCTTGTTATACTCACTGTGGAACCTAAGGGGTTAATCATCCACATTGTGTAAAAAGGATATTTGATCCTGTCTTCACTGATCCTCCACTTCTTTTGTCCCAAATACATCTGCTGATAGAACGGAGCCTTGGAGGCAAGCTGCACATGCTCAGTTGGGTGTGTATTGCTAGAACAGTGTTTCTCAACCTTTTTTCAGTCAAGGCACCCTTTAAAATTATGGACAGTCTTGAGGCACCCCATTCTAAAATCCAAATTTTAAATATTCAAATTTTATATATAACGTAGCAACATCCATACATGTAGGACACCCAATGTTAGAGATTATTTATTCTTCCAAAGCAAATACACTTCTGCACATTGGTACAATGTTTCTCTTCATAATTGAGCTAATGTGACCCCAGCACTGACAGAGGGGGCAAGGGAGTGTCAAACAAGGATGCTGTGCAGGCAACGGACATCCTCCTTATCAACTGATGATGTTGTGTCATCAGGGGCGGACTGACCATTTGGAAACTCAGGGACTGCCCGAGGGCCCAGGGTCAGTACGGGGCCCAATGAGATGCCCCTGGTACTTTTTTCATAGGCTTTTTTGAGTTTGGGCAAGGACACAGGGGCCCCATGATCCTCTATTGCCCGGGGGGCCCAATGAGTTGTCATTCCGCCCCTACCTGTCATGAACTTGTAAAAACCTTTAGCCTTGTGTAATTAAATGCAGGCTTGTTCTACCCGCTGGTTTGTATACAAGTTTTAGGCAATTTTTAGATTTTTTACCAAGGCACCCTGGTTGAAAATGGCTGTGCTAGAGAGTTTTTGTTTTGATTTTTTTTTTTTGTTTTTGTTTTTTTCTTGGGAGAGTGCATGCGATCAGCACAGGGCCAGTCAGCACTGTCAAGACAGGGTCAGCGGTTATCCAACTTCATAGGACAATCAGAGGGGAAAGAAAACTCCTCCTACAAGCTTTAACCAGTACTCTGCTGGACACTGTTAGAAGTCACAAGACTGCTATATACTGCTGATGAGAAAAGATATTTAGCAGCTTATATTTCCTAAAAATAATTGCATTTCCATGTTCTGTCTACTGTGGGAGACCAGATATAGTGAATGTAGGGTACTGGGTTTAGTAACACTTTAAGGCCAACCAGTCTCCAGTTTCTGTAAAACAGTACATTTATGCTGGGCCAAATTTAATATTGCAGGCATAATTCTTTTCTGTGCTGGAGGCAGAACACTCCCTGTTTGGTATCAACCAATACCACGTTTGGGTCTTTAGAAGTAATCAACAAGACCAGATCACAAACTAGTCTGAGGAACAACTTTGCTTTCTTTTTCCTCTGAACTTTAACTTCGATCTTTCTGACACTCCCATCTTCACTTGGAAGAGTTTGGTGACCAGACCATTTTAATCAAGAAATGAGTCAAGATTTTTCAGAGCATCATCAATGGGAATTGATTGCTTGTTTAGGATACAGTCCATCTCCCTGGTATAAGTTTCATATTGCAGAGTGTTCATGATGGTCTTGAAACAGCTGGAGTTCTACTGCTAAACTAATCCCTTTGACAGTTGTGCCAGCCTTTGTAGTCAGTCATTTGCATGGGTGGCATATAGCATAAGCTATATAGATGAGGCAAATAATAGCTTGAACGAGTGACTTCCAGATTTAGAATCTGTTAAATCTGTGGGATTTAAGCTGTCTTTCTGAAGTCACTGTTTGAAGTGTGGAGATTTCAGGGTGGATTTCAACATCGAGTCTGGATCTCCTAGCTCAATTGTGCTACTGTCAGAATCGATCAAAATCATAAATCCTCTTAGTGTCCATACAATTATTACATTGGAAAAACCCAAAAATTAAAGTCCATAAATCTTTTCTTCCAATATAAAACTCGCCATATAAATCCAGTAAGTGATGTGTACCTCAAAATAAAAGAAAACTCAATGGTGTATTATCCTCACAAAATAAATTCATCAATAATCCCCAAAATTAGTTGTACCAAAAAATTCCTTATTAATTTTGCGCAAAACGCATAAACCGTGAAAACACATGATAAACCTTGAAAACACGTGATAATGAAACACTCTGTGTAATATTACCATATATAATACTTAGTGAACACTCAGTGTACACTTCTAATGTGGCTGAATTGCATACCCTTTTTAACCACTAGCCTACAGGGCACTTATACCCCCTTCCTGCCCAGGCCAATGTCCAGCTTTCAGCGCTGTTGCACTTTGACAATTGCGCGGTCATGCAACACTGTACCCATATGAAATTTGTATCATTTTTTTGTGACAGCTTTATTTTGGTGGTATTTAATAACCTCCTGGGTTTTTTATTTTTTCTTAAACCAAAAACCACTGAAAATTTTGAGAAAAAAAAGTTTTTTTCTTAGTTTTTGTTATAAAATTTTGTAAATAAGTGATTTTTCTCCTTCACTGATGTGCGCTAATGAGGCTGCAGTGATGGGCACTGACTGGCACTGATAGGTCGCACTGAATGGCAGCACTGATAGGTGGCACTGACTGGCACTGATAGGTGACACTGAAAGGCAGCTCAGATGGGCACTGAAATGTGGCATTGATGTGCACTGGCAGACACTGATAGGCACTGGCACATAGCACTGTTGAGCACTGACAGCTGGCACTGATGGACACTGACAGGTGCACTGCTGGGGCTACACTGATCATAAGGACACACTGATCATCAGTGCCCTGATCATCAGTGTACATGTCCCCTCTGCGGAATGTCAATTACTGGCTCTGCTCTCCTCTCGAGCTGTCAACGTAACCACTAGCCTACAGGGCACTTATACCCCCTTCCTGCCCAGGCCAATTTCCAGCTTTCAGCGCTGTCGCACTTTGACAATTGCGTGATCAAACAACACTGTACCCATATGAAATCTTTATCATTTTTTTGTGACGGAGCTTTCTGAAAATTTTGAAAAAAAAAAATGTTTTTCTTAGTTTTTGTTATAAAATTTTGTAAATAAGTGATTTTTCTCCTTCACTGATGTGCGCAAATAGGCTGCACTGGTGAGCACTGATAGGCTGCACTAATGGACACTGACGGGCGGCACTGACGGGCGGCACTGAAAGGCAGCTCAGATGGGCACTGATATGTGGCATTGATGTGCACTGGTGTGCACTGATATGTGGCATTGATGTGGCACTGATGGGCACTGGCACGAGGCACTGACATAAGGCACTGATGGACACTGACAGGTGGCACTGCTGGGGCCACACTGATCATCAGGGCACACTGATCATTAGTTTCCTGATGATCAGTGTACATGTCCCCTCTGCGGAAAAACAATTACCGGCTCTCCTCTCCTCTCGAGCTGTCAGCGTGACAGCTCGAGAGGAGAGAAATGCCGATAACCGGCATTTCCCTGTTTACATGTGATCAGCTGTGATTGGACACAGCTGATCACATGACCAAGCCGACATTTTTGGCTCTTTCCGTGATCGGTGATTCGCTGTGTCCGAGGGACACAGCGCACCGTCGATCACCGAGCTGCACGCTCCCTGAGATGTTTGATGTTTGAGATAATTCCACGCATTAATAAAATATGCTTACATAAAACGCCAATAAAAAAGCCTAAAAGATCCCATGACTCCACCACAAGCAGCTTCCAGGAACGCCAAACAGTATTACCACACTTAAAATGGCCACTCCCCTACTTCCGGTTTTGTGGGCAACATCATGTCCCTTGACGTGTTTCGTCACTTCCTTGACCTCCTCATAAGGGGTGTGTCCGTTGGAGAGGCGGCCGCATTTTATCTTGGTCCGGCTCCTTAATCACGAGTCCTTCACCGCCATCTTTACTTCTGGAGACAATACCAATCTGCATGTTTTCGTTCCTTATTCTGCCACTACAATATATACAAATATACAACCTATTGATATCCTTAAACACTCTATTTTTACTCTGTTTACATATATATTAATATCCATGGATGCTCTATTTATACTATCTGTCTACTATTTGTGTGTGTTAGGAATGTCACAGGAGGGTCATAGGAGCTATAAAGCCCCCCAAGGGAGCCGGGGCCTCCCTGTCCAAAGAACCTGCAAACTGTAACACCTCATAAGAGATAAGGCAAGCTTTCCCAGGAGTTGAAAGAGATTCCAACCTAATAAACCTAACTCAGTGTATGTGACAGAATCGGATAAACACGTTTCAAATCCATTTTTCCCCTATATGAGAGACTTACATAAAAAACAGACATATCGTCAGATTGGCTAAGAGGAGACGAACAATTTGATGGGTCACTTGCGTTGTCTCGAATACATAGGAAAGCAGAAAAGTAGATCTCGTGAACCGTTCAGTATAGAATTACATATTTCATCTCTAATCAATCCTCAGACGTGTCTGCATAATAATCTACCCGCGGGTGGCATGTCACTTGTGCATAGGAAAAGTTATGAGCCCAAATATAAACTACATGAGATTTGGTCTCTAGTTTAGGTCGACACCCCAACCTCCACGCCCTACACGGGGTATTGGTCCTTGACTTCAGAGACACCCCCTGCTGGGGAACTACAAAAATAGTCTGTCAGGCCTAAGAGAAAGAGTTGAAGACGTCTCCCATTTTAACATCAATACCACCTGGGGAGACCCCGTGCACTTTTGCTCTGAAACTTGGATCTGCTAACCCAGGACTTTGGCAAGTACATTAACCCTTTCACGTGTCTCTGATATCTCTTTGCTGTGCTGTTGGTCTCTGTATGTTTATATATATATATATATATATATATAAATATAAGTTACATCTTTTTCTGTAAATATTTTTATTGCACCCGTTTGACCTTTTAGTAATAAATCTGTCCTTCTGAAAGTGTGAACTGTTTCTATAGCCCTTTATTGCTTTATTGCAATTTACGAATTCCTGCTTCTAAAGAGAATGCTACTGTGTTTGTTTAACTCTCTGCATAATCGGCCTGCGGTGACCGTATTATGCAGACGATTATCTCAACTATTAGAGTGTTTTAGCTGATATTGCCGAGTTTCCTCTTTCTCTGTACAAAAAGGAGGTGGTGGCAGTGTGAAGGGTTAATTGCGTAATTAACCTGACCCAGTAACAATTGCTCAGGCTGCTGGTACATCGATTGTGGTCCAATTATAGCTGGAAAATCGTTGTGCAGGGTGCAGCTGGGCGTGGCATTGTTACGCATGTGACATCACGGTTTTAGATCGGCTAGTCCTTCGGTCACGAGTTTGGTGAGAAGGGCTGGGGTCTGACGCCGCGATCGTGACATGGGGAAACTAATACACAACCACAATCAGAGCTTCATCCAGGACTTAAACCCTGAGTTATACAAAAGAGAAAAACGCTTAACTAAGCTAGAAAATACAAGAGAATCTTAATGCTGACAAGTTAGAATTGCTATCTAATATTAATGACTTATGGTCTAATACTGTTAAATGCATGTCTGCTCTCTTCCAACAATCTCATGAGACAATACAACTAGAGGGCGCTATCCAGCAATTGAATGTTGATTATGAGAATTATCAAAGACTGTGTGTTAAATATATTGCTCTCTTAAAGCAGTGCAACACTCAAGGGTCATTGCAGGAATTGAGGAGTTTTTAGGAGCTCAGTCTTGAAAGAGACAATTTAGTGGTGCGAACAAAGACAAAGGCAGAAGTGAGAATAACACCACTCCATGAATCCAGATCTTATCGCTCTGCGTCTACTAGACGCTCAAGATTTTCCAAATCCCTACAGTCAAGGACTTCTACACTTAATCAACAACTAATAAAAGCCAGTGCTGATGCTGAAGCTTCTAAAATTCAGGCAGCTTTTGCCCAAAAGAAAGCAGAAATAGAGGCTCAGGCTGCACATAAGAAAGCAGAAATGGTGACTCAGGCCGCATATAAGAAAGCAGAAATGGTGGCTCAGGCCGCATATAAGAAAGCAGAAATGGAGGCTCAGGCCACAGAAATGGCGGCTCAGGCCGCACATAAAAAAGCAGAAATGGAGGCTCAGGCCGCATAACAGAAAGCAGAGAAAGAAGCTGAAGTCACACGCCAAAAGGCAGAAATTGAAGTTTTTGTGAGCATGCCACAGCCATGGCAAGGTTAAGGGTCTTAGAACAAGCCGCTAGTGAAAATGAAAGGGACAAACAGTTCCAGACACTCAATCGTATCTTATGTCTCAGATTCTTCACACACTCTCCAGAACGTCAACTCCCTGTCACAGCAGCCAAAGTACTCAAAGTCTCTTCTCTGCACCTACTGTACCTCAAGACGATTTGCCCTTATATCCTCCAATACATCAGACTGCAGCATCTCAGCTAGCCGCAGACACTCGTGTATATTTAATAGACTGTCCATCATACTTTGGCACCAACAGAGTACCTCCTAGCATACGCACTACTCTACAATCTAACATCCTAATGGACTTTAAGCAAGCTCCGGCATTGAATGCCTTAGCAGCAACATATGTTCCCAAGTCACTCCACCTAAGTCCCCCAACATTTATAACCAACTCTGTTCCACCTGCAGTCATGCACCCAAAATCAGAAAACATGGACATGTCCACAGTTTGCTAAACACATGGTTCGCAAATAACTTAAGACAGGCCTCACCAAGTTTGATGACAAGCCTGAAAATTACAGAGGCTGGAAATCCACTTTTAAGGCCACAATAAGTGACCTAGATATCAATGCCACAGAGGAATTAGATCTACTCTTCAGATGGCTAAGGTCCCCAGTCCACTAAACGCATCAAGAGGCTCTAAGCAGTTCATATTGACAACCCTGCTGCAGACCTTAATGCTGCTTGAGGCAGACTTGAACATCCCTATGGCAGCCCAGAGGCCATTGAAGATGCTTTATTCAAAAGGTTGCAAAGCTTCCCATGGATTTCTGCTAACGACAATCTAAAGTTTCAAGAACTCAGTGATGTTCTATTATAGCTTCAACTTGCTAAGGCTGACATCAACTTACCTGGTCTCAGTTACCTTGACACCTGTCACGGCATCAAATCTATTGTTCTCAAGCTACCATATGGAATTCAAGAAAGATGGGCAGCGCTTGGTTCAAAGTATAAGGAAGAACATAGAGTTGCCTTTCCTCCTTTTTCCTACTTCTGCGAGTTCATCAAAAGAATTGCAGACACTAAGAATGACCCAAGTTTCTCATATGGGGACTGTAACCTTCTCGGTACACCCACTCCTAGACCTACAAACACACGTATGTCGCACAGAGAACATAGAGGTCCAGCGTTAGTGAAAAGGACTAATGTTCTACCTGTGTCTGCTACAGTTCTTGGAAAGACTGATCAAACCAAGAATATTGAGGACCCAAATCACCAATGTCCAATACATAACAAACCACATCTACTTAAGAAATGTATCAGCTTCAGAAAGAAAACCCTCCAAGAACGTAAGGAACTTTTGAGGAAATTTGGGGTTTGCTACAAATGCTGTTCCTCCACAGAACACTTTGCAAAGGACTGTAAAGCGATCATCAAATGTATAGAGTGTGACAGTGATGACCATGTGCAAGCTCTTCATCAATTTTCGCACAAATTCTACTACGCTCACATTCTTCCTGAGGCAAAGCAAGGCGCTGGATCTAGGATGGGTCATCATAGGCAATGTCTGCCTAGACAAGGACAGAAGGTCCTACTCGGTCTCTCTTCCTTTAAAACACATGCCCTGTCAAATGGGCGAACAGCTTGTTCTGCACAATGACCACATAAATATATTTTGAAAGAAAGACTGTTTGCAAAAGGTGCACAACAGCATATCATACGAGACAATAAGAAAGCTTTTAATCTCTGGGATGACAACATCGGCAACACAGTGTTCAAGGTAACCACTAAAGACAATGAGTTGGTAGCTCCCATAGAAGACACAGAATTCTTGAAAACCATGAGTAAAGAGTTCTACCAAGATGATTCCAACAGTTGGGTAGCACCTCTACCATTTCGTACCCCAAGAAAGAGACTACCAAACAGCAGGGTACATGCAGAATCATGGTTTGTTTCTTTAAATTGCAGTTTCAACCAGAAGCCTGAGATGAAAAAGCACTTTGTAGACTTCATGCAGAGGGTTTTTGAAAGAGATCATGCCGAACCTGTACCACCTCATACAGGAGAAGAATGTTGGTACCTACCATTCTTTGGTGTCTACCATCCTCGCAAGCCTGATCAGATTAGGGTGGTCTTTGACTCAAGTGCTTGTCATGAAGGTGTCTCCCTCAATGACAATCTTCTCATTGGGCCTAATCTGAACAACAATCTCACAGGAGTTTTACTTCGCTTCAGACAAAAGCCATGCTAAGGCTGACATTCAGCAGATGTTCCACTGTTTCATCGTCCGTGAAGACTACAAAAACTTCCTCAGGTTCCGATGGTACCGCAATAATGATGTCAACGACGAAATCATAGACTACCGAATGAAGGTAC